CCCCCCCCCCCCCCCCCAGTTTCAATAAGCTTCATCACAATTTTGTCTCAATGCCGATCGAATGTGGTCCTCTCAACATAATCCCTCTAGGTGCTCGTCCAAACGGTGCTTTAAAACTGTCAAAGCTCCTCGAGAATATTGGAGCTCGATTGTACAAGAAACAAGTCTTAGGCACCCATTTGGAAAACGACCCTTCCCTTCTGACTAGTTCTTCTTCTCAACCTCGATTAATCCCAGATGCCTCCTGTTTACGCCACTCATCGAATATCACTCAGCGTTTTACCATCAAGGCAAGAGATTCAGAAGCTATAGGGTTTTTAAAGCCAAAATCCCATTTTCACTTGGCCGCGTTCAATGTCCGCACGCTCTATCAGTACAAGAAACTGGACTCTCGTTGGCGCCAGCCGCCAGTCCTGTGAACTGACCTGACCTGAAAGCAGCTTCAGTCTACCGCCGCTGCTATGAGGGAATTCTCGAGGGATGTCGATATCCTTGAAATTCAAAAAACCAACAGCAGACTGATCAACTGAAGCTTTTGCTACAAAAGCGTGAGCTCCTGCGTGGGTTACTGGCTCCCAAAAGGTAAGTGTTTCTGTGGTTCTGGATCCATAGAACCCTTCAGGAGCTTCCTCAGAGAAACGAACTCCTCCGTATGCACCGTTATGCAATTGGTAAAAAGTCGGTGATCTGCAGACAACCTTCGTATTTATCGGTGTTCGAACACTACTGTCTACGTCGCATTGCACGAGTCTAATAACCGGACGCGCAATGCTGAGGTTAGGCGTAGAGTTTTAGGTGATCGCGGTCGTCCACTGGAGCAAGTGGTCAACCTAGATAGATTACGTTGGTTGGGGCATGTTTTGCGAATGTCACCAGATAGGTTGCCAAGGCGAGCGATGATTGCCGAGGCAGGTAGCGGTTGGCAAAAGATCAATGAAGGTCAAACTAAGACCTGTCATGGGGGTATGAAAACCCTAACCAAGAGACTAGGTCACCTAGGCCCCGTTAGGCTTCCTGTCTGGGGACCGCGAGATCATGTTTGCCGATGGTTAGAGACACTGAGTGATATGGCTGGGTGTTGCAAACAGTGGCGCTTGTGCATCTACTCATTGTTCTTGTAACTTCAGTCTACGAAAATGTGCTATCTTCCGCTTGAATCTGCTCTCAACATTCTGATCATCATTCTTCTGTTTTCTCCAAATGGGCAACCAGAAGACAGCAACCAAAACTGGCGCACGAAAGTGCTTGGTTAATGGTTGTAAGAATAGACAGAACAGAACAGCCAGTCTAGTGACAGCATGTCATACAATCCAATTATGCCAGTTCAGGATTTGTCGCCGCACCACCTTATTCAAGTCTAGATTTGATGCGGAAGGCGTACAAAAAACCCGAAGGCTTCCATTGTTATTTGACTGAGAGATCTAATATGTCCCGGCATGCTCCACGCACTGGCCCGAATCTGACCGGTATTATCACAAGTCCTCAGTGGTAAGGTTCTTTTCACACAATGTTCTGCACGAATCGGTTTCTTGTAGGCTCTAAAATCCTCCAAACTAGCATGCCCTAGGTTCAAGTAAGCACACTTGGCCGTGTTGACCGTCAGGGTCCGCGATTTTGGCCATGAGCATAAGTGTGTAGATCCCCTTGCGACATCATGCAATCCTCAGAATTCTCAGTCGTAAACCAGATTTTTATATCTTTATACACAAAGGCCGAGCATGATGTCAGGTCGTAAGAATATATCGAGGGAAACAGTAATCTTCGTTACTTTTCCGGTTGTAAGAGTTCTTTGATGTTCCTTCAAGACTGTTGTTCTGGGTACCAATTTACGATGGAAATGATGTCAGGTTAGGTCAGGTCAGGCTGTACAGGATAGGTCAAGCGATCGTCCGAAATTCTTGCGATTATGCCCATGAGTGGTACTGTTAAGTTTTTCCTTGTATCCAATAACAGAGGAGAGGCATCATTTTTTCCCGTGTTCATGAGAAACTTATGCTTTGGCGTTCCAAATTCTGCGAAACAATTTTTCTTACGGTTTAGAACTAGAAAAAACTCCAGTCACCTTCCGTTTAAAGTCAAATTAATGGTCTGGACATTCGGAAGGTTGAATAACCTTTCCATTAATTCACTCTCATGTTATCAAATATGTACTCGTAAGTTTAGTAGTCTGGAACACTGTATCCCATACCACGCGTTTCTCGGTGGCGAATATGAACGGTAAAGGTTCCTGGATTGTGCTTCGATAGTTTCGTATCCCCAACGAACCCTCCTCTTTTCCAGTGGGAAAAATGTGAGCTCAGCATTTTTCCCGCAATTAACCATCTTTGCTGCTGATTTTGCAGTTTTCACAAATCACTCCACTTGTTTGCCGGCTAGGCTCTGGCTACTCGAAGACTATAGTTCTGAGTTCCCCAAGAAAGTTTTGGTCGGGGTAGCCGGATAGTATCGCGTCGGAACTTAATCTCCTTACAAAGATTATTGTACCTCACTTAGTTTGGCACAGTTTGGATTCAGATGTGTGTGAAATACATATAGAACCTAAGTTACTAAACCATCACTGCGAGACTGCACTTTGACATGGTGTGATGACCTGCGTGCTTCCGTGACCCTGTGAGTTATCCAAGATGGCTTTTCACTACCGGGATTGAAACACCTTTAACATAGACGTGACGTCTCACTGAAGTTGAAAGATCGTGTATATTGTGCCACTGGTCCCCTAACACCATTCTATATGAATTCTCCATCTTCCGCTTGAATTCACTTTCGACGTTTCATTCTTCATCCTGCTGTTCTATCCAAATGGAGCACCAAAGGACAACAACCAAAACCGGCGCAAAAAAGTTCATGGTTAATGGTTGTAAAAACTGAAACTGAAACTTTCAGTTCTGCTTTCTGGCTGTGAGACGAGCTCACGAGTAGAAGATATTTATCGACTACAGGTTTTCCATTATCGATGCCTACGTAGTTTGGCCCAAGTGAGACGGAGTGAACGGGTTAGAAATCTGGAGGTGAACCGTCGTGTGATTCGGAGTTTACCGGGGATAAATTTTCTCGGGTATCGAATTCAGATAGGTAGCCTTCGCTGATGAGGCCAAGTAATTTGCATGCCCAGATGTCTACCGCACTGCGCCGTATTCGCTGTGGCCGCTCCGGGCTGGAGAAAACCACGTGGAGGCCAACAGATGACGGGGAGACGAAGCCTGCAGAAATGCACAGAGCTATTAGGTAAATCAGGTTCGAGGTTGGGTTCCAGAAGACTGGTTGATTGGTGACACTGAAGGATATGGCAGCGAACCGATAGCTGCGACGATTTGGTTGTCACTTCGTCTATGACGAAATTGAACAGGAATGGCGAAAGAGGGCACTCTTGACGAACAACGCTGCTAGTTACGAACGACCTACTCAGCTCGCCGTAGAGTGAACTCAGTATATTCACATACTTCTGCGGCATTCCTTTGCAAAGGAGTGAACCCATAAGGGATTCACGATCAACTGAGTCAAAGGTTCCTTTTAGGTTAAGGAACACGACAACCGTTGGTCGACAATGCGTATGGCGTAGCTCGAGGACTTGATGCAGGGTGAAGATTTGATCGATACAACCGCGACCTGGTCGAAATCCTGCTTGTTGTTCGCGGATGTTTGTCTCCCTAAATGGTGTCAGACGTCGAAATAACTTGGTGATGATTGGGATCAAACTTATTCTACGGTGGTGTGCGCAGTCATTGAAAGATCCCATCTTAAAATTGGAACGATCAGTGATTCACTCCAGGATGACGGAGTGCGCTCGTGTAACCAGATGTTACGCATGAAATCAGTGATGGGGTCTACAAGGTCATCGTCTCTTCATCTTGAAAAGAGTGGGAGGAAGCCCGTCCGGCCCTGCTGCTTTTCCTTTCTTCAGGGCTTGGATACAAGAACGAACTT